CCCCCCCCCCCCCCCCCCGCCACGGCCTCTGCCAATTTCTGGGCTAGTGGGGTGCCGCTTTTTTAGGATAATGATCCTAGGAGGGGAAAAATGGATTTTGAGGACACGGAATGCTTTGGGGGAAATGATGCATGTTCTAGCAGATTCTAGCCAAAGTATTGGACTGACTCAGGCATCCCTGAGTTCCATTCTTGGCTTGGCCGGGTACCAGCGGCTTCCCCCAACCCAAGTATTCATAGTCCTTTCTGTTCCAGGCTTGTTTTGCAGTTCTTACTTTTTGATGAAGATTTTTTACCACCACCCAGAAGTTTCTGTAATTACAAAGAACTTCTCAACTGTGGGGCGGGGGCAGGGGATTTGGGATGGGCATGAGGAGGTGCTTATGTACTTAAGAAGGCATGTTTGATATTGTAACGTAAATTTCTAGCCATAAAGTGAAAAGAAAAACAACTATTTTCATAATGCAAAGACTGGAAGCGAAGCGGAACAAGATTTTCGTAGCTGCTGGGATGTGGGTTTAGAAACAACGAAAATCCCTTAGTGTGGATCTCATTTGCCACCATCAGGACCAACTCAGACAAGCTTGGGTTGAGAGAGGGTGACCCCGGGAAAAGGGTTTAGGGCAGCTCCAAAGATCCCAGCTGATATCAAATCCAGAGCAAAGCACCTGGGCCTGAGACCCCTGAGGCCCTGCGGGGGCTGAGCGGGGCATTGGGGGTGACTTGGACTCTCGCTCCAATTGCCCTTCCACTCAGTGAATGAAATCTCACCGGGGTAAGTCACCTGGTTCAGCCATCACCAGAAGAATCCAGATCATCCCATCCCAGCATATCGCTGGCTGCAGGGGTGGGAGACTGCACTGGGTTCCTCCTGGGCATCGCTCACCTGGAGCGTTAGCCGCAGCGCCCCCTGCCGGCCAGCACCGCCTTTCCTCTGCCCCTCTAGTCTCCAACACACAGACCAGGGGTATCAGCAGACCTGCCAGGCCCCTAGCTCAGGCGAGCTGGGTGCAAACACTTGCTGCCTGTCTGGACAGCTCTGCATGCCTCAGTTTCCTGATCTGCAGCATGGATTAATCACCCAGACTTTCAGAGCACCCTGTGACTATGAAATGCGTATGACCCTTAGTCGACCCTTAGGATGGCCGTCGCTCTTCATGAACTGTATCTGGTACCTTATGTCCACTCTCCCATGTGACCCCAGGACAAGACTCAAAGCAGGCATAAGGAGGCCACAGGCCCAGCAGGTCTATGACCTGCCCAGGGAGTGGCCAGGCATAGATCTGTGGTGGAGCGAATCTGACCAGGGAGCCCTCGCCCCTGCCTGGAGGCCACACCACCTCTCAGAGAGGAGGCACGGCCTGGATTTACAACTTGATGGCCTAGGTTCCGATTCCACGTCCACCGCTTGCAGGCTGGGTCCCACTGTGCTGGGGCCCTCGTTTCCTATGTGTTCAAGGAGGTGGGGACAGAATACCATGGAGGTTCTTATAGGGGTTTAAGCTGAGAATACCCATAATGTGCTTAGAACAGGGCCTGGGCATAGGAAGCTGCAGCCTTTACCACCTTCCCGAGCTCCGTGATCACAGTGGACTCTCTCCTGCCACTGTGGTCATGGGACGGGCAGCAAAAGAGCAGGGGTGGGGCCAGAGGCGGGGGTTCCCCGCCCCCAGACCCCATTCGGGGTGCATCCCCCAAGGCAGCTTCTGCCATCCGCCTCAGTGCCCCACATTTATCCAGGATCTTTAAAACGAAAGCTGCAGGGGAGGGTAATTAAGTTTAATAGGAGCCGCTGTCGATTTAAAGCCACAGGGGGGAAGTAATTAGATTTAACAGAAGCAGTGGCTTTCTGAACCAAGACACGCAGCGTGGGGGTCCTGGTCTATAAAGCCTTTGAGATGATGTCTTTTTGTAAAGCCTTTCCTGGTGACATTTTCTGCACGCTCAGTCATTAACGCCAGTCACTGACTGGGGTATGAACATGGCCTTTACTCATTGAAATTCATTAGGCCTGGCACTGATTTCTCTCCCTGAATCCAACTGCTTGCCCGCCCATCGCCTTTGCGCTGAGACAGCATGGCTTTCCCCCCAAAACTGGCCTCCTGGGGGCCCCCACACCCCACACCTAGGGGAATTGGAGAAGAAATGAGAATCAGTGTTGAGCCGAAGATCCCTAGGAGGACCCTCTCCTTCCCGCCAGGGCATTCTCTGGATGCTTTTTCCCTTTTCTGGGCATCACTAGAGAAAAGTCTGGTTTGCAGGAGCGACTTCACCAAGTGGCCCCAATTTCCCGGCCTGGCGCCCGCCCCCAGCCCAGCAGCGCCCCTCACTGCCGCTCTGCCCCTCCCCGACCTCTCCTCCCCCCCAGTCCCCCAAGACATCGCGCCCTGGCCCGGGAGAAGAGCTCAGGGACCCAGGGACCGGACCAACGACAAAAGGCACTCAAACACAGAGGGGCCTCCCTGCGCTGCGCCTGGCCGGAGCTGGGAAGCCAGAGTTTCCCCGTCTGCAGAAGCAAGCCCACCTTGCCCCCGCGAAAGGCGCCTTCAGGACGACCGCCCATCCAGGCTCCAGCTCCGGGGACCGCGGCGCGCTCAAGCCGGCGCAGAGGCCGAAACCCGGGCGGAAGCGCCATCTAGCGCTCGCCGCGCGCCACTCCCCCATTGTTCCTCCCAGGACTCGAGCCCGGCCCCCCGTCGGGGGGCAATTTACCGGGGTAAAAGGGGCGGGAGGGGGGCCGGGATCGCGAGAACATAAGACCAGGAAAACGTGAGCTAGTCCGAGCGGCAAGGGGAAATTCTAATGGACGGCTTCGCATCTGGAGATATGACGGTTAGGACCGTCGTGGGAGGGAGTGGATGTGGGCTTTTAAGAAGAGAGAGCCCCAAAGCCAAGGCGAAGCTTCTCCGGACAGGGGGTGAGGGATGCAAAGGTCAGTGCCCCAGTCTCTGGTCACGGGGTTCCTGCTCCCAGCTCCTGCTAGCGCCCCGCCACGAGCGCATTCCCTGGGGGAGCCGGTGGTGTGGGGGCGGGGACCGGTTGTCTCCTTTATTGCTTTATAAAATCAAACTCTCCCAGCCAAGAGAGACCTGGCCCCCGGCCCCTGCGCTGCGGGGAGGAGCTCCCCGAACCCTCCGGTGAAACGGGGCCTCCTCCCCCAGATCCGGGAGGCCTGGGCGGGGTCACCCGGGCGGGGTCCGGGGAGGGGCTGGGGCAGGAGGCGGGGTGTGAGTGGGTGTGTGCGGGGGGCGGAGGGCTGATGCAATCCTGATAAGAAATGCTCGGGTGTCGCGGGCACCCACCCGCCGGGAGGGTAAGACGCGCTATATAAGGCCGCTGGCCTCGAGCCGCCTGCCGTCGGAGCAGGAGCGCTGAGCGCCCGGAGCGCACCGCTGGCTCGAGGGACGCACCCCGCCTCGGCACGCACGGCTCTGCTGCCACCCAGCCTCCCGCACCCTCGCCGCCAGAACTGCGTGCGGAGCCCGAGGGAGGTGCCATGCGGAGCGCGCTGAGCTGGTGCGCGGTAGCCCGCGCCCTGGTCCTAGCCGGCCTCTGGCTGGCCGCAGCCGGGCGCCCCCTAGCCTTCTCGGACGCGGGGCCGCACGTGCACTACGGCTGGGGTGAGCCCGTCCGCCTACGGCACCTGTACGCCGCCGGCCCCCACGGCCTCTCCAGCTGCTTCCTGCGCATCCGCGCCGACGGCGGCGTTGACTGCGCACGGGGCCAGAGCGCGCACAGTGAGTGCCCACTCGCCTCGGCGCCCCTTCCCTTTACCTCCTTCGGGAACCCCACGTTTTGGCACCTCTGCGTTCTGCTCCCGGCCCGCGGCCCCTGACAGCGCGAGGAGCTGGGGGGGGGGGGCGCCGGCACGTGGACCCACCGCACCCACGCGTTATCCTTCACTTGCCCCCTTCCCTTCCCGCGGACCCCCCACTCCCAGGAACCCCAGATCTTGGCACGTGGGCGGCCCATTCCCTCCCCAGAGTCCTAGACAGCACAAGGCGATGGGGGAGTGGGGGAGGGCCTGGGCCTGTGCACCCACCTCATCCACGTGCTGTGGGCCTCGCGGGTCCCGGCTGCAGCCTTCTGCTTCTCTCGCGCCCAGGTCTGCTGGAGATCAGGGCAGTCGCTCTGCGGACCGTGGCCATCAAGGGCGTGCACAGCGTCCGGTACCTCTGCATGGGGGCCGACGGCAGGATGCAAGGGCTGGTAGGTATCTCCACCGGGTAATACGCGCTGGGGCGCGGGACGTACGCCTGTCCCCAGGCGGGGCCCCGCAGGGGAGCGGGGCACGCAGGATCCAATCCAGGCTCTCCCCGCTTTCTGCCCCGGGTCCGGCGTGGAGCTCGGAAGGGAAGACGGCGAAGGGCCAGATTAAGCTGAAGTGAGAATTTTTTTCTACGGAAGTTTATGGGTCCCGGCTAGTAGCCAGAGGGTGAGAGCTGCCTTTGCATTTTCAATTGCGCCGAAGGCCGGCCCAGTGGGACGGAGGAAACGCAGTGTTCGGCTTTCTTTGACATTAAACAGTGAGACCCACCTCGGGCCTTTTCAGTCCCGGCCTGCGCGTGTGTGGTCCTCGCCTCCGTTTCCCTCCCTGCGGTATGAAATAAAAGGAAGGCACGAAAAAGTATATTCACAACTTGGATCTTTTTTAAAAAAGCCAATCTTCAAATAAGTCAGAACAAATTACATTCGGGATGGGGGAGATTTTTTTTCTTAATTTTTATCCACTAGAAAAGGGTGGTTTTTGGTGACACGTTAGAAGAATATTCCAGTGGCGTTTGTCCTCGTGTCGCGCTCACCTGTACCGCAGATGCTTTTGGGGGAGGGTGCTGGGGGTGGGGGTGGTGGGGACGGGCTGGGAAGGCCCAGGTAACAACCATCGAGGTCTCGGGGCAGGAAGTGTGCGGAAGCCGGGTCTCGGTCTCTGGGAACAAAAGACTGGGAGTTCAAAGGGAGCCCGCGCCCCTCCCGCGCCCCCGGGCTCACAGAGGAGGCTGTGTGAGGTCCCGGCCCCGCGCAGGGCCTCAATGCAGCCTGCTGGGCCAGGGGCGCGGCGGGAGGAGCGGGGCGGGGGGAGGGGGCGGGGAGACCGCGCCTCCTGGGATGCCCCCACCTCCCAGAAAAGATGCAGATGCCGGGCCTCCCCCGCAGCGCGAATCTTTTTAGTGTCCCAGTTGTTTTGTGCCTCGGAGGCCAGTTTATCCCATTTTTCCAGAGGGCCTGTTTCAGGTTTTATGGCGGAGTCCTGCGTGAAAGGACCAGAACGGAGGGAAAGAAAGGAGGTGGTCGGCTTGCTGAAAGCTGACACCCAAAGCCACTCCAAACCCGCAGTTGCAACTTTTGTTGTGACATTTACTTGGGGCGGGGGAGTAGGGCCGGAGGACCCGCTGGCGCAGATGGGTCTAAACCACCATTCTAGTCCAAATTTTGGGGGTGGGGGTGTCCCTTCCCCTAAAATCCTGTTCTGCCTCTTGATCCCGTGTGTGGCTTAGCCAAGACGAGGATTTTTTTTTTTTTTTAATAAATTCCACTTTCTCCAAACAACTCGAAATCATTTCCTTTTCTGTTTGGAGAAGAGAATGGGGTGCTAGTTTCTCCCAAAGAACCGGGAGAGTGAAATAGTGCCACCATTTGCTTTTCCTTCCCTTGTTTATTTAGCCGTTTGCATTTCCCCCAGCTGTCTGGTGGCTCTGTCTCAGTGCAGGGAGCTGGGCATGTTGTTGCCTCCTGAGACTTGAGCCTTATCAGTGCCTTATCCGCACAGCGCTCACCCACCTGCCGTTCAGTGACCTTTGTAGGCTTGCGCACAAACGGGACTGGGTGCCTCCCGGGGTTGTTTACCGCCCAGCACTCCTTGGCTCCCTGCCCTCTGTGTCCTCACCGGGTAATGATGACCTTCCCCAGTTTGGCACAGGACCTGGCCCACTGGTATACCTCTCTGGCTACCAGCGTTCTGGGACCCCAGGGGCTGCTCTCTGCCCTTTGGCTTGCATTTCCCGCCACCCCGCTGGGTGCAGCCTCCGTCCTGGGCCTGGGGGGAGGGGGCCGTCTTTATCTTGGTAATCCTGGCAGGCTGCCTGGAAGGCTCTCTGGCCACCGAAGGAAGGCGCTTGCGGGGGGGGGGCTGAGGTTTCCTACAAGGGCACCAGACAAAAAGGCCTCAGAATGGCCCACCGTTACTCAGGTCTAAATGGGGAATAGATGCTTTAATCTGGGCTCCAGACTGGATTAGGAGAGCACACCTGGTTTAGCCATGTCTCCCCCAGTGTGGCCACCAGGGGCTTTTTCAAGTCAATAGTCCTGCGTTTCCAGTAAGGGTGAGGGGTGCAGACACGCATGTTTTCGCTTCTGATTTTATGCATCTATTGCTCAGAACAAGACTAAATTTAAGAAGTGACATGATTTAGGGAGAGATAATAAAAGATACACAGATATCTGTATATATAGGTATTGAGTACATACGTAAACCATACATGAAATATATATGTGAAGTATATGTGTATATAAAGGTTATGAATGTATATAAGCACATATACGTATAAATTTGTTAAAGTACGTATAAGGTGTCATATTTAACATTTAGTGTTATAATTTATCATATTTATATATGAGTATATGCTCGATGTGTATATTAATGTGACGCATACTTTATGTAAGTATGAATTTACACGGATAAGCACGTACTTTATACGTAACTGTACACACGGATACATAGGACCAATCATGTGGACCCAAGTGGGAGTATGTAGCTCAAATGCTCACCTGGTGGCCAGCCTCTCTGCCACTTCTGGTGATGTCACCCCAGGGGGCTCCCACCGGTGCTCACGGCCACCCCTTTTCTCCCTAGCCTCAGTACTCTGCCGGAGACTGTGCTTTCGAGGAGGAGATCCGCCCCGACGGCTACAATGTGTACCGGTCTAAGAAGCACCATCTCCCCGTCTCCCTGAGCAGTGCCAAACAGAGGCAGCTGTACAAGGACAGAGGCTTTCTGCCCCTGTCCCACTTCTTGCCCATGCTGCCCGGGAGCCCAGCAGAGCCCGGGGACCTCCAGGACCACGTGGAGTCTGATGGGTTTTCCGCCCCCCTAGAAACAGACAGCATGGACCCTTTTGGGATCGCCACCAAAATGGGACTAGTGAAGAGTCCCAGCTTCCAAAAATAAGTGGGGCTGTGGCCTCCCCTCCACCGCCCTCAGAGGCCAGGACCCCCGACCTGTGGTGCTTGCAAAGTGGGTTCTGGCTATGCTTCTGCAAGTATAATCCTGGGCTCGTGCTCCGGGTAGCTTTAGGAAGAAACATCTAGAACTTGTACATATACAGAGTTGTACATTGGCTGTGCCAGTTCCTAGCGGATAGACATGTATGATCTTGAAATCGTAAGCCCTCCACCCCGCACCTTTGCCATTGCTGGACAGTTTGCTGTGCTGCCCTGATTCTGCTTGAATACCTCCACTGACCGGGAACTCACCACCTTTGGGGAAGTTCTTATGCCAAGCTGAAACGTTCTGCAGTTCTCTCTCCCGTCATTTCCAGTAGGGGCAGCCAGAAGAAAAGCGGTCATTTTAAACTCACGTACAGGTGATCAGCTTTGTGAAACCTTAGGTAAATTTGACTCTACCACATGAGAATTGATCGAGGTCTCCACTCCAAAGAGGATCGTTGGTTCTCCCCCAGCCCCTCCAGGACAGAACTGATCAGGCATGGCCCACCAGGCTTTGGGAACAGGGAGAACCCAGAGGCCTCCAGCCTGGGTAAACCTTAAGAACTCCCCGCTACGGCTGCCTCTGGGACAGATGACCTTCACCGGACTACTTGGCAGTCTGCCCAGGGTCCATCGGGAATTCACTTGCCCCTCCCCTTGACCTCCAGCGCCCTGTACATAGCCAACACTTACCAGGGCTCACTAGTTCCCCTAAGTGAACGACCACCTGCTTGGGGGGGACAGGACGTGAGGACAGCCTCGGTAGCCCTCCTTCCCCAGGATCCCATCTGCTCTGGGCATGTGGGTTTCACACTTGAGCGCCCCTCTGGACAGAACCCCGCGGGCCCCCCCTTCCAGGTCTCCCACACAATGCTGCGGCTCTGGCGCGCTCCCTCCTTTCTCCAGCGCCGTGGATACGGACCAGAGAGGAGCAGACATGCCTTCTGGGGCTGTTTCCATGTTCCCAGCCCTTTGCGGGGCAGCGGGACTTGGCAGCCGCTCGCCTTAGGTAGCCTGCTCATCGCGTTCAAAAGCCAGGAAAGGTTAGATTGGGAAGCCCCCGGTCTTGCCAGTAACTTGCAGAAGCAGCGGGGAGAGGAGCCCTTCCCAGCACTTAGTTGCCAACGTGGTATTTATGCGTAATTTATTTTGTTGGATATGTACATCTCTCTATTTTCTTACTTTATTTATACCCCCCCCAAGTTGTATTTATGATGTACGTGAGTTTTGTTTTCTACATTAAAGCACAATTTGTACCAAAAGTGGCGTTTCGTTACCCAGCTGGATGCCTGTGAGGGAGAGCGGGAAGGGAGGTAGACCCCGGCGCTGAGCGCAGAGGAGACGCTTCAGGTGTTCGCTGCATTTAAAATTGAACTTTCTACCGAAGCTCCTGGTCATTGGCAACCAGCCCCTAAGCTGAGGCTCAGATGGGTCGAATACTAGATGAGGTTAACCCAGTGGTGGAGGCTGCTTGGGCCTGGGTGCCGGCTTCCTCCTACCACCCCTGCTAGGAAGGAGTCTGTGTGGTGAGGGCAGCCACGGCGTAGGTGTGTGTCAGGTGCAGGAAACAGACTTCAACTAGTAGTGTCCCCCTCTGCATATTGACATAGCTCTTTCGCTGGGGGCAGGTGTTCCTGAGTGAGCTGGGATGATGAACAGCGACCCCGGCCTCTCCTCCGTCAGCTAGATGCGGGTGGTAACCCGTCATTACGGCTACTAAAAATTGAGAAAGAAGTTGCTGCATGTCTTAGGGCAAAATTCTACAACCAGCTGTTCATTCTGGAGCAAATCATCCACTTCTCTGAGCCTCTGTGCCCTCACCTGTAAAACGGGGACAAGGATGGAGAGAGCAACGAGGAGTGGAGCCGCCATTCCATGCCTGGCACAGACTCCATCAGCAGGGAGTTACTGGGCACTCATGTCGGCAGGTAGTCCACCGAAGATCAAAGTTAAAGTCTCCCGAGGCCATCTCTTGGGGCGCCTCCTGTGCCCCCTGCACGTGCTCCCCACTCCAAACTGGCATGCACCCCACACTGCGGACAAGCCCAGAGTTGACCCTCCGCCACTTGCTCATCATGACGCTGCCTCACTCTTGAACGCCCCCCCCCCCACCGCCCCAGGTGGCAATGCCGAGTGGGTGACACCTGCTGACCACATCCTCTACCCCTTGTTCTACAGGTGAGGGAGTACAGGACCACAGAGGGAAGGCACGAGCCCAAAGCTGCGTAGCCCGGAAGCAGCATGGCGGAAGGGCTGTGGGGTCAGGCCACGAATCCACCCCCCCACGCCTGTTAACTGTGTCACCTTGAGTGAGTCAGGTCACCCCATGATTCTGCGTCCTCGTGTGGACGGTGAGATGAACAAGGTGTGCATTGCAGGACTGCTGGGAGAATCGCATGGAATTCTGTCTGCGAGATGCCTGGTGCAGAGCGGGCTGTCAGACAGCAGCCCTCACCGGGACTAGAACTCGTGACCCAGAACAGTTATTTCCACTGGTTCTTAAATTCGGTTGCACGGTGGAATCACCTAGGGAAAAATCCAGTCGCTAATAAATAAATGCCACGTCCCCAGAGATCAGGTCTAATTGGAATGGGTATGGCCTGGACATTTAAGATTTTGTGAAGATCCCCGGTGATTCAAATGTGGAGCCCAGGTTGACAGCCACAGGAAAACCGTTTACATGTGATCTTCTGTGTCCTGGAGACAAACACTTCAGGGGAAAATGAAGTGGAGTGTCCTCCCCACAGCACAGCTGACAATAATGACTAAATGTACATCTTTGTGAACTAATTCACACTAGAGTGTTGATGGTTAATACATTTTCACTCTGGGCACGTTTTCACTTGACCTGGCAGCCAAAAAGCTGTGATGACCGTTTCTCTGGCTGACGTGGGCGCTCTGGCAGGAGAGGGGGAAGATTATTCTTCAAGGCTGCACCTTGCATTCACCCCCCTGACCTGCCTCTGCTCCTCGTAGGAAGGTGGCCTTGCCCTCTTGTGGCACCTCCCTTTCCTGCCTTAGAGAGTTGTCAAGTCTAGCAAATAAAAACACGGCATGCCCAGTTAAATTTGAATTTCGGATAAGCAACACACTTTTTAGTAGAAGTCTGTCCCATGCGACATGAGACATACTTATGCTCAGAAATTATTCATTGTTCATCTGAAATTCAAACTTAACCAGGTGTCCTGTATTTTGTCTGGCAGCCCTACCTTTAGATCCACAGCACTGACGTGGGGTCAAATAACGAGAAAGTAAGTACCAGGGGCAGAAAGTGGCTCAATTGGATAAGCCTGTCCGGTGGTGAGATCCCAGAAGCAGAATGCAAAAGAATTCTTTCTTTGGGCTCTTTCTCCACCTGTGATGTGAGAATCCTTACCCTGCCTCAAGGCTGTTATCCTGGGGGTGGTGCACCTTCCTGAAAGGCCGGGCGTGCCTGGCTTCAGGCATGCTGTGAGAATGGGGGTGGCTGGACAGCAGCAGCATCTCTCTGTCTCTTTGCATCTTCTCCCCTCGAAATGACAGGTGGTCCCCAGCAGCTGCAGCTTCTCTTCCATCCTCCGGCAGCCTCAGTAGGGGTGACAGACGGTCCTTTCCCACCAAAGGCTCCTACTAGGGTCCCAGAACCCTTCTCCCGTCCCATGTTAATTCCCCACCTGATTCCGGCAGCCGGGGGCCGGGATGCTCTGACTGGCCAGGCCTGGGTCACCCCCTCCATGCTGGGAGGGGTCAGCCTGGGACAGCTCAGGGATTGAGAGTGGGGTGCTTCCCCAGAGGAAAACCCCAGAGGGGACAGAATTCTCCCCAAATGCCTACATTTGTTGATTCACCATCCAGCGTGCTAAATTGGGTGAGCTTCCATCTTCTGGATCAGGAAACACCACCTAGAAATGATCCAAAAGACAGAGAAGTATAAGGGGGCGGTGGGCATAAGGCCTCCCTGGACCCAGAAATGGGTCATCCAGTTAGAGAGGGCAGGAGAACAGCGGCCCCTGCCTTGGGTTCAGGGCACTATCAAGGTCATGAGAAGGGAGTCTCAATTAGGGGATGGGGAGAGGAGAGAAGGGGTATCTTTTGCAACTAGGAGCAGAGGGAGAAAGACAGAGAGACAGACCGACAAGAGATATATTAAGCACCCCGTCACATACTGTTACAATTTTTGCCTCAACTGTCAAATATGATTTTAAAACGCTCATGAGAAGGATCATCTAAAGGTTTACTCCCGGTTTTCCCAGTCCGATGCTCTGTTCCTTCCTGAAGTTCCAAGCCCTTTTCTGTTACAGATTCTTTGTCTTCAGAGAACTTCCTTTTGCCACTCTTGAGAGGCAGGGTGGCTTTTGGCAACACGTTCTCCTCGCGCTCCCTCGGCCCGAGAATGGCTGTATTTCTCCATCCTTCCTGCTTGTCTGGTCTGCGGAGGGAGACAGAACTCAACCACTTTCTTCCTCCCCTTCCCTTCCTTCATCCCCCAGCGCCCCAGAATGTGACCGTCTTTGGAGATGGGGCCTTTAAAGGGGTGATTAAGGTAACATGAGGTCACCATGACGGGTGTCCTCATAAGAAGGGAGGAAGGACCAGGGCGCACAGGGAGAAGATCCATCTTCTGCAAGCCAAGAGGGAAGCCTCCCTCCGGAGCAGCCAAACGGCAGACTTCCAGCCTCCAGACCTGAGACGACAGATGAGTGTTGGGATTTTGGCACGGCGCGCTCAGCAAACTCCCGTCTGTCTCCGGATGGTCTGTTAGTGGCCAGACAGAGAAGGTGCACCTCATTCCGAGGGCCACGGGGGGCCACAGGGGTTACTCAGCACTGGGCTGCAGGTCCCTGGGAAGCTCCACCTGCTGCAGGGTGTAGCACAGAATGGGGGAAAGGGGGAGCCTGGGAGGAGTCCTCGCCTGCCGCAACTCTCACACCAGAGGCAGGACCCCTTGCCCTTTTGGGGGCCTCCACCTTCCAGCCTGTTGAATGGGGAGGGGGTCCTTGGATTCTGTGTGAGTTTCCTTTTAAAGGGGTGTGTATTTAATCACACTAATGCCAATGTGAGAGTTACTCTCCTTGTGAAAAAGCCACAAGAGATGAAGTCCCTCCTAGTCTACCCTGTCCCCGTCCCCATCCCCATCGGCTGCGTGTGGGTTGCCACGTACTTGAGAGCCTCTGTGGTTCCAGGCGCCACATACGCCCCTCTGCACCCCTCTGCCCTTGCTGCCCTCACCCCTGCCTCCCCGTCTACCTTCCGGCTTCCGCTCCGCTCTCTGGCCTCTTCACGGCTTCTCCGCGCTGACCACTCACCGTGGGCTCTTTAGTCTCCACAGCCTGGACCCATCCCGTCTGTCTCTTTGATCCAGTCTTTCCCAGCCACACCAGCTAAGCTAGCCCGCCTGGCCTGGCACAGGATCCCATCCACAGAGGACAGCGCTCAGCACCTCGGCCTGTCCTGTCCGAGGCCCTGGGTTGCCGCTCTGTCGCCTCTTCCCAGCAGCGCTCCCCAAACATCCTGTGTTCATTTCCTAGAGCTCCCATCACAAATTACAAAGAACCAGGAAGCTTAAAACAAGAAAAATTAATTCTCTCTGTCTGGAGTTCGGAATCCAAAATCAAGGTGTAGGTAGGGCCTCGCTCCCTCTGGAGCCATTAGGGGAGGATCCTTCCTGCCTCCTCCAGCTTCGAGGGGGGGGGCCCAGGCATCCCTGGACTATGGCTGCACCCCTCCAGCATCTGCCTCTGTCTTCATGTGACCCCTCTGTGTGTCTGCTTTTCTGTGTTATGACATGACACCTGTCACTGGATGTAGGGCCCAGGTAGGTAATCCAGGATGATCTCATCACAAGAGCCTTACTTCTGCAAAGCTACATTTCCCAACTAAGGTCACATTCTCTAGTTCTGGGGGTTAAGACTTGGACACATCTTCTTGGGGGCATCATTCGACCCATGACAGATGGAAAGACATGAGTGGTGTTGCTTTCTTGGAAAGGGTATGCACATTACAAATCTTTCCAGAGGCTGCCGGATTGCACAGTCCATTTATCCAGAGGCCACTTTAATGCACACTAGGGCACAGTCAGTCCTCACAACCACCTCACCTGAATTTACCCGTAGGGAAGACTGAGAGCTGATGGGGAGGGTGCCAGGTCGGGGGTTTCACCCTCCACTGACACCAGCCGGGGTCTGCTAGGGCCC